GAAAGGAGAATAAAGTAGCTGATGCACTTAGCCAAGTGGTCTATATCCTCTCTACTGTGGCTGTATGGGTGGTAGGCTTTGATGTGCTCAAAAGAGACTACCCTACATGTCGAGATTTCAGCATTATCTATGCAGATTTGTAGTCAGGACAGCAAGCAACATATCCAGAATTTTCACTACATGATGGCTTTCTCTTCAAAGGGACTCATTTGTATCTACCCAATACCTCACTTAGGGAAGAGGTAATTTGGGAACTACATGCAGGGGGTGTAGCAGGTCATTTTGGACGAGACAAAGGCCGAAGCATTGGTTTTGTCTCCTCAACAAAGGCCGAAGTCATGACATCTCTAACCGGCATCAGGATTGCAAAAGACATGGGCTTATTAAATCTACCATTAAAGGAGATTCAACCAACACCATTAATTGGCTTTCTAATTCTGACAGTGGGCCTTGGGCCTTAGCTCACTACCTGGCTGAAGCGAGAGACATCCTCTCTTCTCTAAATGATCATGTGGTCTGGATTCCGAGGGAACTAAACTCTGAAGCTGACAGTCTAGCTAAATCTGGCACTCACAGGGATTACCTATTTAGTGATAGTTTTCTGCCTATGTAACTTTCTGAGTGTTTAATTGTTGTTGTACATCTCCTCATGTACCTCTTCTTTTTATCGAATAAAGTTAACCTTTTTTCAAAAAAAAAAAAAAAACCATTGCCATGGTTGAAGATTGTTTCTATTGGCCAGGACTCAAAAGGGATGTAGCTTAGGTTATCAAGCAGTGTTGTGTATGTCAGCTAGCAAAGGGAAGGAAACATAATGCTGGTTTGTACACTCCACTCCCTGTTCCACATTCCCCTTGGCAAGACCTCAACATGGATTTTGTGCTAGGACTCCCTAAGACTCTACGGGGGCATGATTCCATCCATGTTCTGGTTGATCGCTTCTCTAAAATGGCTCATTTCATCCCTTGTAGCAAGATATCTGATGCGGTAAACATTGCACAACTATTCTTTAAGGAAGTTGTGCATTTGCATGGCCTACCTAGTACTATTGTTTCAGATAGAGATGCCAAATTTATGAGCTACTTTTGGAGGACTCTTTGGCGTATGTTGAATACTGAGTTGATGTTCTCTTCATCTTTTCATCCTCAAACTGAAGTTTTGAATAGAAGTTTGGGAGATTTACTGCAATGTTTTGTGAGTGATGGGATTTGGTGTTGCCTACAACTGAATTTGCCTACAATAGCTCCGTGAACAGAACTACAGGTCGCAGTCCCTTTGAGATAGTGATGGGGATTCAGCATAAGAAGCCTATAGACCTAGTTCCTTTGCCATCAGAAGCAAGATCAAGTGCAGATGCAGAAAATTTTGCTAACCACGTCAAGGAGATCCATGATGAGGTTAGGAAGAAGATTGCAACAAGCAATGAAGCCTATATGTCTCATGCTGACCTACAACACATGCTTACTGATTTTAATGAAGGGGACATGGTAATGGTACGGATCAGGCCTGGACGTTTCCCTAAGGGTGTTTATAAGAAGCCCCATTCAAGAAGCTCAGGTACTTTCAAAATCAAGAAGAAAATCAGCTCTAATGCTTACATATTGGATTTTCCAAAGGATATGGGTATGAGTAATGTATTCAATGTGGAGGATTTAACATTGTATCAAGGTGATACAACCTATATTGACCAATTCGTAGGCCGTTTACCTCCAGCCCCACTTTCAAGGAAGAGATTGAAGATGTTATTGATGATCAAATTGTTTCAGCACGACATGGGGGATATCGCAAGATTCTTGTCAAATGTAAAGGTCGTCCTCACTCTGATTGCACTTGGATCACTGCCAATGAGTTCCAATGCCTAAATTGTGATATGTATTAGAGGTACCTTCCTTTTACTCGACGGAGTCGAGTTTTTTCCAAGCTGGGGAGAGATGATGGGGGTCAACCTAAGGCACATCAAAAGAGAACCAAAGCTGCTCCTATGCTCATTTGGCATCATTATGAAGACATGGGGCCCACATGGGAGCTGGGTTAGTTGTGCATCAACTTGGGAAGACCTTAGTGTCTTCAATCCACCTTAAGATGCTCTTTGTGTGGTTTCGCTTGCTGCTGGACATGACTTATTTGGTTTTCTTACATTTCTGGACAGCAAGGATGTTTTTGTAATTTTGCATGTTTGTGGGTTATGTTTGGGAACAGGTCTTAGTCTAGTAATTTCCCTTTGTTTGGATTTATGTTTGTAATTGTTTGGGGCAGGTTTAGTCTAATCTAGCTTCTTTTTGTAAGTGGCTTGTTTGGCAAGCTAACTTGGGGGGCAAGTTTCTTCCTTTAGAAGCTGCTTCTTATTAAGCTTGTGTAAGGCTCATTTGGAAAGACAGTTTTGGCTGATGAACAAAGAAGGTTTCTCTATAGAATTTGGTGTGATTGCCAAGTTGGGGGTGTGATTCACCCTTAGGTGTGATTGCCTAGGGTTATCTTCTTTCATCTTCTCTTCTTTCTTTTAACCTGATATTTGTTTCTGTTCTGTACACCTACAACCTGAGTTTAGTCTTGCATCATCATTCCTTGGTTGACTCCCATCTACAAACCAATATTCAAGTTGCTCAAAAAGAATTCTTCCAACGAATGGCCTGGGGAATGTCAAGCAACATTTGACAAGATCAAGGAGCATTTGCTCAACCCTGCAGTGCTTGTACCATTGATTCTAGGCCAACTAGTCATCGCCTATCTCTTGATGACATGCACATGAATGGGAGCAGTACTTGGATAGCATGATGAGATAGGAAGGAAAGAGAATCATCTACTATATTAGCAAGCACTTGTCAAAGTCGGAAGCAAAGTACACCCACTTATATAAGACGTATCTTATCTTTGTTTGGGCTACTCAGAGACTTTAACACTACACGCTGTCTTACTCGGTTTGGCTCTTGGTACAGATACACTCACTAAAGTACTTGTTTGAGAAGCCAACCTTGTTAGGAAGGACCACTAGGTGGTAGTTATTGTTATCAGAGTTAGAAATCACCTATCTGACACAAAATTCTATCAAAGGTCGAGACATAGAAAAGCATCTTGCAGAACACCCCCTTGTAGCCTACGAGCTGTTGCGAACTGAATTCCCTGATGAGGACATCCTCACCCTTGAAGCAAAGTCAGAACAACTAGCCAGCCAATGGAAGATGTATTGTGGCAGAGCCAAGAATGAGGCAGGTATAGGTATAAGAATTATCCTTGTGTCTCCAGACAAACTACAGGGCCATGGTCCATGGGAGTTGGGTCCCACACTACAAAGAATTAAGCTTGATTTTGATGGGTGTTTGTTTGGCAACCCTAGACTTTCATATATTGGGGGATCTTTTAGAGATGGGGATGGAGTAGTGGCTTTATATTCTGGTCCAATAGGGGTCGGAGATTTCACTTAGAGCAGAACTTTTGGCCCTCCTCCAAGGTCTGAAATTGGCTAGACAGTTAAGGTTCCAGCTGATGGAAGCGGAAGGTGACTCCAAAATTGTGATATTGTGATAGGGTGGATGCAAATAGGAAATTTGGGGGTGTGAACCCACAGGTGGGTCATGAGGGAGATTCTTTGTCTATGAAGGGAAATTTGTGCTATTTTCAGATGGATTGGAAGATCAGCCAACAAGATGGCTACAAGGGACAAATGGGGGGTTGAGCTTGTTTTTGGCTTTGTTGTAATTCTCATTTCATCACTTCTTGGATGTTCAGACTGATGTAACATTGCTTAATATTAATTGAAAGTCACCATTTTCAATCAAAAAAGAAAAGTCAACAGCAACTTAGCTGCAACCTATCTGACCTCGACTTTAATCTACTAAAAACATCAGTTATATGGGTAAACAGAATTGGAGGCAGAGGGCTTAGGCAAGGTGAAAATAGCAGTGTTGGTGAATGAAGATCTGATTTTCACTAGGATGGAGTCCAGTTTATGATATTAGGGGTTTTATTTACATTCGAGCTGGATGAGGGGCTGATGATCTTGTGATTTTTCGACTTTTTTTAAGTCAAGTATGGAGCTGAAAGTTTGGGTGGTGGAAGAAGTTATTACTATGTTGGATGCTGATCTCTGACTTAACAAGTTGTTAACTTTTAGCATGGATTGATCCTTTCTACAGGGTGATTTTTTATTTGACTGTTTAGTGGTTAGGTTACTCTTATTGTGCCATTTGTTATGTTCTTTTCTCTCTTGGGTGATTTCTTATTACCTTTTCTTGTACTTTCTTCTTATTTTAAAAGATTTTGATTTTACTATCCAAAAAAGTTAACCAAAGATGACTCTTGGAACAGGGTAACGTATTGTTAGAATCTGTGTTGTGTTTTTCTGTTATCTAAGAAGTAAGGCCTATGCATCCCCCTCTGGATTTGCTGTTTCTTGGGCTTTTAGGAGACTATCTTTGTAATACCATTATATGTAGAGGTTGTGGAGTCAGAACTGCCCTTCCCCCCCCCCTCAACACTCACACACTTAGTTGCATCCCATATTTAAGGGCCTGACCCAGGATCCTGGAGGACCTCCATGCTTAGAATAATGGAACAAAATCTTATGGGCAGATACAAAAGAGAATAGATAGAAATTACACGAAGGTTGCTGACAAAAAATGAAAAGAAAATCCAGAATTAACTTTGCAAGAAATATCATCATGCCAAATCAGGATCCTGACTAATCTCATCCTCTGGTAGGCCAGCATTCATATCAGCTTATTTTGAATGGTGAGAAAGGATCTATAGGTTAGCCAAGTTTATATATTTGGTGATTAAGAGAGTGCTATTGTTGGATTTATCATATGTTGCATCATATTTTACTTTTGCATTCAGTTCACATGTACTCTTCTGGTGGTAATTTGGCTTCCATTGTGAACTATGAACTATGATCATAGCACCTTCTTGTTTCTTGTTTAGTTCAGTGTCTATGTATGGACATATGTTTATGTTTACACGTGACTAATTTTGATTGTCAATTTGGCTTTTGTTATCTATTTCAGCTTACTGGTGATTTGGATAAGATGGTTGCGTTGCAGAGACTATTGGAACCCTATGGTATTTGTGAGGTATGTTTCCACATTCGAACTTGATCCTTCTGATACAATTCAGAGCCTAGATTGGTGACATTGAGCCATCTGACTTTGTAATAGCTAAGGGTGTCAATGGACCAGTTTTGGATTGGACCCCATCCAGTCCAAAATCAATTTGGACAGATAGGACGGACCAACAAGGCATATTGGATTGGACCAATCTAGTCCAAAATATTTATTAGATTGGATTGGACCTGGTCCGTCTGTAACAAATTTATATTGGATTGGGTTGGATTAAGCCAATATCTGGTCCATTGATATAGAATAAGAATATATGTTTCAATGGACCGGATTTGAGTTGAAACCAATCTAAATCAAAATGAATTTGAGCAGATTGAACGGTCCAGACATTGAATTGGACCGGTTCATATTGGTCCATAACATTCATTGGATTGGATTGGACCTGGTCCATTTATAATGGACTCATATTGGACTGGTTCATATTGGACTGGTTCGACACCCCTCTCATAGCCTACTCTTGGCTAAGTTTTAACATCTTTGTTGCATTGCATTGACTTGCATACAAATTTTACATCAAACATGGTTCAGAGCTGCCTTGAGATTCTAAAAGAACCAACTTCAAATGTGGCTTTTCAATTTCCTATTCTCGTATTACTTTCTTCAGTGAGTGTATTTTTTTTCATGGAGCAAGAATGCATCCAAACTTAGTCATGCCAAGTCATGCATCCAAGTCGTTGGCAATTTTCATGGAGCAAGAACTATGCTACTGTTTTTTGAACATTTCCAAGTTCTTAATTGTAATTTCTTTTCCAGTTTGTGGTAGCGTGTAAGAACTATGCTACTGTTTTTGGAATTTGTGGTTTGTCCATATACAATTTGAGAATCATGGTCTACCAAATCATTCCATTTGATACAACTTCCATGTGTGTAATTAAATGATTAACCATTTCCACAAAGTTTACGACTTATATTGCAACATGGGTTTAGCAATTGCTCAGTCTAATGTCTATGACTTCTATTGCGTTTTACCTATAAACCCTTGCATTTATTTCTAGTCTCCCCCTTACAATGTTTCTTATGCTTACCTGAAGGTGGCGCGAACTGGGCGTGTGGCATTGGTGCGTGAGTCTGGAGTAGACTCCACTTACCTCCGTGGCTATTCTCTTCCATTTTAGTTCTGCATATCCTGATTGAACAAGGGTTTGTAGTTTTCTTTATTTTCCTTATTCACTCTTTTACTTTTTCTGAAACTGACCCGAAAAATTTTGAGAATTTTATTTAATATGTATTGATATAGAGATGTATCATGTGTCTTTGAGGATAAACATGGCTGTTTGTCTTTTAGTTGGATTTTATTGTGTTTTGGGGCGCGGAGTGCAGAAGTGACAAGAAATCCATGATTTTGTGTGTGTATGTGTGTTTCGGTAAGAAAGGATAACTGTATTAGAGTAAACAAAGACGTTCATACAGATCATAACCAAACAGAAATCAAAACAGAGGATTATCCATAATTCAGCATATCTGTTAGCCATGGAAGACTGGCAAACTGACTCTATCCTACAAACTCCTGCGCATGGTTTAAAGTATCGATACGGGTGTATCGTATTTTATCTTTTGAAAAAGATACGGTCCGAAATGCCCATTTCCAGGTGTTTCGGAACTCCAATTTTTTTAATAATAAAAAACATGTTTTTAGCTTCCTAAAAAACCAAAATTTGAAAAAAAAAAACTAAAAAACAAAGTGTTTCAACCATTTCTAAGTACGATACGATATGGGTATTGTATAATACTTTGAACCTTGCTCCTGCGAGCTGAGAAGTGAGCAGCTATATAGCAGCAGATGCACGGAGAACTTAGCATAGTGTTCTTGGACAAAGAAATGATATCCTGTAAAAGGAAACAGATTTCTGCATGTGTATGTAACCTTTAATGACCTTTTGTTAATGATGACTTTAATTGCACTCCAAAATGATCTGATGTAAGCCTAATTTCAAAGCCAACTTCAGACCTTCAATAGTTCAATTACAACAATGACCTTTTGTTTATTTTCTCTTAACTTTTAACTATTAAAAGAAATTTTTTAACTTTAAGAGAAAATTGGGTGTTCATTTCCTCTTATTTCTTATTCCTTAAAATGTAATCATACAATTTTTTTGTTTTCCAATGATACCTCCAAAAAGATGAACAAAAACTTTTATATGTAGGGTTAAAATGGATAACACATAGATACAATGAAAATCAAAATACACATGGACTAGAAAATCCAAAAAAAAAATCCTTAAAAATATGAATAACAATAAAAATGAGTTTTATGTGTTTATAATTAATTTATCTAATCATAAAAACCATTCTTTAACAATTTATATAAAGTATCGAGAAATAATTAGTGATCGTTGAAAAATAATAGGAAACAAAATGTATGTGTGTGTATATATACTAATATTTATTAGCTAATATTTTTTTAAAGCCATTTATTATTTAATATTTATTATATAGATTTAGATAATATTTAGGGTAAATGATTATAATGTATACAAGTTAATATATACCTTAATTTTTAAGAAATAAATATAATTTGTATTCATTTTATTATTATATAAATATTAATAATCAAATTTTCCAAGTTTGGAACCATGGGTTCATTCATATTTTAATGTTTTTCACTTTTATTGACATCCTATCAAATACCCCTCAAAGAGTCTCTGTCTTTGAAAAGAGACTCTTTTGAGGGAGCTTGGATCATTTTGAGGAATTATTGACATCCTATCAAATACCTTCTATTTTTTTGAGGAGCTTGGATCACTTTTATTGACATCCTATCAAATACCTTCTAATACGCCCTTCCAACTCCAAGAATCATTGTGAGGGAGCTTGGATTTAAGGAAATATTTTTATCCTAAATATTCAGTTGTCACGATTCTTACCTAGAAGTTGTTTGGTTCTGAACAAAATCACCAATAAGCTAGCCTGAACAACAAAGCAAGATTGAAATTGTGTCTCTTTGATGCCTAGATCCTCATTAAATTTATGTTTAAAACTACTCCATTAGAACATTTTTTATTTATTTTTCTTAAATTCATTACGTTGGACTCAGCTAGAAGGAAATTTGACATGGCATGAACTGTATAATAGTAATAACTGATATAATAAAAATTTCCTTCCCAACTTGAGATAACATCAAAATTTTCCGTAACTTAATCTTGTTGGACATTTTCTCTAGGAGATACATAAACAAGTCATATTTTAACTTGTCAAGAACAACAGGCAACCAAGGTAAATGCAAGGTTTGCTTACTTCTTTCATCTACATAGATTTTGCAACAATCTTCTTTAATTTCTAATTCACAAAAGGGCTACAATTGATTTTAGATTTGTTGTAATTCACCTATTGGCCAGAGGCTTGTTAGAGTGTCCAATATCCTTCTTTCTTAAATGATTGCTCTAGTGAAAATGTAATTGTCTGCAAAGAAAATTTGAGAAATAACTTTTGTAAGGTTGATTCTTGAGATTTTATCTCTATGGCAAGATCAATGAATTGCAAATAACACATCAGAACATAAAAGTTTATGAAATAAGGGGTCACCTTGTTTAAGACCTCTAGATGGGAAAATTGTTTCAACGGGAGATCCCATTAATTAGGATTACGTAGGATACTTTTGTTACACACTCCATCACATGATTAATCCACTTGGTCTCAAATCAAAATATTTTCATCACTGTTTTTTTATCAAACTTTATAGTGACATTGATAGTTTTGTTTCTGGACTTCCTAAGGTAATGGATTATTTCATGTGCAATTAGAATGTTATTGAAATGACTCCCTAGAATGAATGCACTTTGATTTATGCTAATATAATTATTTAATGTTTTCTTTACCCTATTAACCATGAATTTTGCTATAGTTCTATAAATGCCATTATAAGGACTAATAGGTCTAAACTGATGGAGATCTTAGGAGATTTTACCTTGAGGATAATAGTTATGTAGGTTTGATTAAAATCTTTTAGTAAGTGACCCAAATTGGATAACTATTTAACTACATCACTGATGACCTGCCCCATTACCCCTAATATTTTTGAAAACAAATTTCTAAAACCATCAAAACTTGGAGCTTTATTTGGGTGCATCTGAAAAAAGAGTTTCAATTTCTTCATCATTTATGCTACTCTCCAACATATTCTTTTCCTATTTAGAAATTTCCTTCCTTATAACACTCTTTCCTTCCTCCACATTTTTTAATTTTGCGGATTATTAATGACTAAAAAGAAAGGAGTATGGAACTGCAATTCACACCCTACCCACAAGACATGACAGTCATACATCTAGAACATCTTTTGGTTGTAGAGTCTTGTGGGTAGTAGCTCCAAGCTCAAAAGGTAGTGGAATCCAAAATACTATTCCCTTCGGCATTTACATTATTTCTGCCATGCTCCAAAAACAGCTTTAGTGGTATTTTAGAAATTCAAGTGAATTACAAATGCCTTTCTTTTGGTTTCCAACAATAATATATACCCACCGCATGTTAAATTACAATTACCTCTCCAATTAGAACCCAAAGAAACTTTACTAACAAATACTAAATGACACAAGTTTTCATATGTATGTATGTAGAATCCATAATTTCAAATACCAACTAAAATCCATTTTGTGCATATATATAGTGATTAAATCCATAATTTTGAATACCTACTAACATCTCCCCTCTCCTATTAAATCCCTTTTCTTCTAATAAAATCCAACATTACAAATCATGTAACTAACACTTTCGTTATAGTCATCAATCAATCTAAGTCATTAAAAATGTAGTAATAATCATAAGTGACCACTTCACCTCCACATACATTATTAAAGACTTGCTTTCCTCTAACATTAACCATTTTGTTATTTAAGCCATTTTTCCTATTACCTCCTTATCAAAGGCAACCTCACTGCCTAAGCTATGATCCAACCACACACCCCTAAGTGGTTGCATCCAATATTCTCACTTATCTCAATACCATTTACTAGCTTGTGGCCACATGCCCTCTTATAACAAGCTAAGCTTAGATTTTTTGTCCTTGAGTTGGGTGGGCCCAAAATTTTGGCTCTTCTTTTTTTATTTTTTTTGGTTGGTCTTGAACCTATCCCTTAGGTAGCTTGAGCCTAGCCCAACTATATACATACATACATACATACATACATACATACATACATACATATGTCAAATTATGTCAAATTATAGTTAGAGCTGATTTAACAATATAGGTCAGGGTTGGCCAAACCTCTTGCAATCTTTATTTTCTTGTTTGGGGTCAGTCAAACCTCTCTAAAAATTTTTGTGTTTCACTTTTCTTGTAATCTTTATTTTCTTATTTATTATTGTTTATGGTTTGTTTGGTTCATAGTCGGAATCGAAATCCTTCGGAATCGGAATCGGAATCGAAATCGGAATGGTTTATTCCCATAGTCTATTTGGTCCAGACAGGAATTGAAAATGGAAATGGTCTATTTGGCTCATACTTTTACGAAAGCACTTTTGTAAAAGTACTTTTATGGAAGCACTTTTACAAAAACACTTTTATAAAAGTACTTTTATGAAAACACTTTTAAGAAAGTACTCTTACAAAAGCACTTTTGTGAAAGTACTTTTATGAAAGCACTTTTGCAAAAGTACTTATATAAAAGTGCTTCCATAAAAGTATTTTTATAAAAGTACATTTATAAAATTCAACTAGGGATAATATTATGATTGGTATTTTAAAATTCAACTAGGGATAATTTTTGAAGAAAAAAATTATAAAACCTTATTTTTAAAATAAACACTTATTTCAAGCTTATTTCCCAAATACCAATAAGTGCTTAATGGTCTAAATAAGCATTTATTTTTAGCACTCCCAAACATAACCATAGTAAAGGAATTGGGAAAAACTTTAGCTGTTAGGACCCAACAGCATAAGCTGTTGAGAGAATTTCTGGAAATGCCACGTTACCATGAAAATGGATAAATTAATGATTACATCTAGGGGATGGAAGGTTGATGACTGTGCTCTTGACCTTGGTCATCAAGTTAATACTGTTTGTGACTCCTCGTGACCCAATTCCACTATCTCTTAGACCCTGCAAATAAACAACAATTAATCCAGTGAATCTCTATATAAAGAATATAGTAACTGAAAATTTTAATGTTGAATTAGTTTCAGAGAATTAATGTATACCTGGAAAGGAAAATGATGTATCGGTAAATATGTATCGATACTTAGAACCTTGATTAACTTGAAAGATCCCCTGAACAAGAATTTTACACTACTGAAGATATGCCAGATCAACCTCTCCAATATAGCAATTTGTAAAGAGAGAGAACATTTTTGAATTAACATAATAGATTCGGTATAATAAGTCTGAGTCAGTTTTGGATGGCTATAATATGTACACG